GATATCTTTTGTAGCTATGGCTAATATTTGCATGAGATTTGAACGGCGAAATATTGTAGATCAAGAATTAATGGAATCATGCGTGAACGAATGTCTTCTGTTGCTTGCTGCTGTTTGTCGAGTTTATGCTGCCAAACGATCAGACTTCCGTCTTCCTTTACTTACCGCTGTATGCGACCTCACTTCTCAATTCCTAGACTATCCTCTCTACTGTTTTCTACTTGACCATCGTGATAATGAGGAATTGCCTAATTGGCTTCAAGACGTGCTTAAGGTATGTGCAAGTAAACATTTTCCATCTACACTTGAATGGCATACCCTTAGGTGTTGTATACATAGGCACTGATGTCGTTTTTGTAGGTTGTTGACGCCGACTCTTGGATTCAAAAAATGTCTTATTCGTCACAGGTAATTTTTTGTCATGGGTTTCAAGTTCATACTGAACTAGCTTTATATTAAAAGAAAGCAACATACTCGAAGGATTTCCATATTTGCCATCATCTACTTTTGCAGATCATGGACTCGTCTGACTTGTCGGCGAGGACCGCCGTCCTCGACTTGGTTCTGTCCATATATCTAAAATGTTCTTCAGTGCTATTGCAGCATGAAGCGATACGAGCAAGAATGGCAGAGTGTGATGCTGTTCCAGATGAGTAAGCTTTTAATCGTTTTTTTGTTCCTATTTTTCAACTCGTCGAATGCGAATCATTTATAATCAATTTATACGATCAGATCTGAGGAGAATCCTACTACGGTGCTCTTGAAACCTTTGCTTTTTACGAATCAGCTCAATAGGCTTGAAAGAGATGGCATTTTTGAGGTAAGTGGCATCTGTGTGATTAAACATTTTTATGTGAAAGAGCGGTATCAGTGAGATGAAGTTATTATTGTGAAAAGCTAGAAACAATGATATAAAGATATCTCTCATGTATTCCAAAAAGAGTGACGCAACAAAATTTGTGTAATTCTCTCTACGCTGCTAGCTACTTGAAGGAAGCTTGTGTTTTTCTAATATAGTCGAGTTTGTCTAAATGCTCAATATTTCAATGAGGCTTGATTTATTCTTTTAAATAACGT